AAAAAGGTTTTGAAGATGAACGAGCATGAGTCATGAAAATGAAAACCTCACTTTAAGGCATTTTTAAAATTATTATTATTATTAATAATTTTTGTTTTTTGAGACAAGGTTTCTCTGTAGCTTTGGAACCTGTGGAACCTGTCCTGGAACTCACTTCATAGCCCAGGCGGGCCTTGAACTCACAGAGAGGCACCTGTTTCTGCCTCTTGAGTACTGGGATTAAAGGCATGTGCCACCATGGCCCATCCCACTGCCTGGTTTTTAGTTTTTTTCTTTTTTTAAAAAATAACTGAATGGGGAAAATATGAAGGCAACTAAAAGTCCTGCCCTCAAGAGACAACGTCTCACTGAAGAGCATGCGTGACACTACACCTGGCCGACAGAGTGTTTCAAAAGGTGAGGGTAGCTGGGTAGGGTGGCACACGCCGTTCTTCTCAGCACTGGGGAGGCGATGTTTGGTCAACATCTACAGAGTCCTTGTCTCAAAAAGAAAAGAAAGAAAAGAAAAAAGTGTGGGGTGGGTGTGGGACACAGGCCTTTGATCCCAGAACTCCAGAGACAGAGGCAGTGGTGGCAGAGTCAGGTAGATCTCTGTGGGTGTAGCCTGGTCTGCAGGATCCAGGACTACATAGTGAAACTCTGCCTTAAAAAAAAAAAAAAAGTGTTGGGGGGGAGGGTTGAAATTAAAGGAGACTTGGTAAGAGAAAAATAACTCTAGCAAAATAACAAAACAACAACATGGATTTTAAAAGCTTTCTAGACTTTTATTTGACTAGGTAAACAGCAATAAGAAAGCTCTAGACTAATTATTAGTTAGCAGCACTTTACGCACCCCAGTGGAGCATCAGCATCATCATGTTAATGAAGCCCCATTCCAAGGGGCCTGGGGCTAAGTTCTATTAAATTTGTGTTTAAAGGAATCTGAGGTGCTACAGGGCTCCTTCGACAAACCAGGGATAGTAACGATTTATTCATAGGGTCTTGAGGTGAACTCATACAAAGTGCTTAGGAGAGTGCCAGGCACGCAGTACGCATTTAATTTCGAGCAGTCACACGAGCCTCTGCGCTGCTACTGCAGCCTGCCCCACCCCATTCCACGTTTCCAGCAGGGGCAGGGGCGACGTCGCACACAGCCGCCTTTTAATCAAACCTAGACTCAACTCCGACAACTGCACAATCTTTAGGGGTGCGGCGGTCATGTAGCTGAGAAAAGGGAAAACGGGTCAGTGGGAGCTTTCCACAACCCGCGGCCCGGGACGGTGCGGCCTGCACAGCGTGCGCCCACGCCACACGAGCGAGCGAGACGCTTTCGCTTAAGCCGCGCGAGGAGGGCGAGCCACAGCAAAGCACGCCGGAGGGGGGAGGGGGAAGGGGGAGGGGAGGAGTCCTCTCCCGGAAGCAGTTTGTCTGCAGAACCGGAAACAGTTGTTTTTCAAGGGAGGCGGGACCGGGCGGGCCAGGGCGCAGCGGCTGACGGCGGGGGAGGAGCCGGTCCACTGCCGGGTGGAGGGGCAAGGCGAGTGTCCTTATCCTAGCGATTGGGGCCCGGGCCTGGGAGCCAGTTGGAGTCGCGGCAGCGTGAACGATCGGGCCGAGCGGAAGCAGACATGTTGCTCTTCGTGGAGGTGAGTGGCTTCGGTCGTCCGGCCTGGCTCTGAGAGGAGCCCAAGTGTCGGGGGCGCGGGCCGGTCCCACCGCCATGTGACTTGCCAGGCCGTACAAGCCGCGGAGCCCGCCGAGAGGCTGACACAGCACCTGGGCCGTGCAGGCCTGCAGCCCCGCCGTGCGCGCCGCGCACTGCAGCGAGCCGTGGGGGTCGGCGCCCGTGCTGGCGGCGGCGGGGAAGGACGGTGGCGCGGCGGGGGCTCGGCTGAGGTGGCGTGAGGCGCGGAGGGCGAGGGAGCCGAGTGTCCCATATGGAGCTCCCGGCGGCGGCGAACGGGCGGGGGTGGGGGGCGGAGTCTGCGGAGAAAGGGCGATCAGGTGGGCGCGTTCGGGGGCCCCGGAGGCCTCGCGCGGCGGCCGGGACGGCTGGGCAACGTGTGGGACCGCGGGAGGGACGCGGCGGCGCGCGGGGGTCCTGGCTTCCGTCTGGTTAATTTGGGGAGGGGCGTGCTCTTAAAAGAGAACGGAAAGACCCCCCACCCTCCACCCCGACCCCCAAGCTTTACCTTTTAAAACTCTGTTCGGGCTGGGACGATTGGGTCTGGAACGTTCTGTGGGTGAAAGCGACTTAGTTTGAGCGGCGAAGCCCGACAGGGGTCGGCAGCCTTGAAAGGCACCGCTCTGACCTTTTGTAAAAGTTACTCGGGCTGCGGCTGCGTGCTGCGGGTTGATCCCGCGAACCTACTAAAAGCTATTTACACGGGAAATTACCAGAGTGGACAAAACGTAGGGAAAAGCCGAGCTTTTGTGGTGGTGTTGGATCAGTGGAATTACTTTGTTTCATTGGACCGTCTACCGTCCGCTTATTTGAGTTTTCAAGGTAGTGATTACCTGGCTTAAATAATGAAGTGTAATTTCTCTCATTTCTGTCCTGTTGTGTTCAGTGAGCATCAGCTGACTGCCTGGCAAGTGCTTTGAGTAGATTCCAGATCATATTGTTCTTACATTGTGAAAACGTCAATCCAGCAAAGTGCAACTTTGCAACTTGGCATTTGTTAACTATGCCCATAAAAAGAATCTTTTCACGAGGGCAGGAATCACAGGTTGTATAATGGACTTGGAAGCTGGGGCTACTTATGGGGGAAGGGTGTTGTGAGGTGGTGGGTGACTCTTATTCCCTGCTGCTCTGGCATAAACTAAATAAGCAGTTTTATTTATTTTTACTTTCATTGTGTATATTTGTTGTACATGGTACTGTGTTACTACATAAGGATATTGTAACACAGGCATGTGTGTTGTATATTAGGCAAATTCCTATACGCCCCTTTTTTTTCTCTGCTATTCTACCTTTTACATTCCCTGAAAGTTTATGTAGCTGATAAGCTTGGGATCCATAAATTAAACGTTAAAGACACTTAGTGTATATTCAAGACTAGTAATATGTTTTAATTCGGATATTTGAAGCAAAACACTAACAGTTTTGACTGTTCTATTTTTTCTTTTAAATTTAAAATCCACCTTGTTTAAATTTAAAATTCTTTCAAATTTTAAAACCCACCTTGTTTTCCTTTAACAGAATAAGAAATCAGGTTTTATTGTAATCCGGGCTAGTTTGTTTTAGGAATTACTGTGCTGTGCAAATATTGCAAGGTTTTTGTTTGTTTTGTTTTGTGTTTGGTTTTTCAGGACTGTTTCTCTGTGTAGCCCTGGCTGTCCTGCCACTGGCTGTGTGACCAGGCTGACCTTGAACTCAGAGATCTGCCTGCCTCTGCCTTCTGTGTGTGCTGGGATTAAAGACACGTACCACCCAGCTATGTTGCAGGCTTTAAGGAGAAAAAGGGAGAGACAGTAAACTGGACAAGATTGTGACGTTTGTTTTGTCTATATGATTTCCAAAATAAATTGAGAGTTTCAAGTTGATTTGACTTTATTAAAATGTGAACTTTACTAGTAGGTACGTTCTTTAGTGTTTTTGCCAGACCCTCTCCTGTCTCTTAAAACAACATTGCAATGTTACAGTTGAGGGAACAAGTTGAGCGGTTAAAAGGAATTAGTAGCCGGGCAGTGGTGGCGCACGCCTTTAATCCCAGCACTAAGGAGGCTGAGGCAGAGGCATGCTGATCTTTTGAGTTTGAGGCCAGCCTGGTCTAAAAGTGCTAGTTCCTGGACAGGCTCCAAAAGCTACAGAGAAACCCTGTCTCAAAACAAAAAACAACAAGATAAAACAAAAACTTAGTAAATGCTAAGCAATAGAAATAATTTAGATCCGAGTCGAACTAACCAGCCATAATTTCCCAGTATAGACTTAGTACATGCCTCTGCCTCCCAAAGTGCTGGGATTAAAGGTGTGTACATCTACACATGGCTCAGGTAATGAGTTTTGAGGCTGTATTATTACTATGTTTTTCACTAAACAGCTATTTAAAGTTAATATCCCCATTAGTCATTTCTTTGGCTCAGTTTATCTTTTTTTCTCATGTAGTTTATTGAAAATTAGTGTTCTGAAATATTCAGGACTTAATATGTGGTCCTAAAACCAGTCAGAAACAAGACATTAGTTATTTGACATTAAACAAAATACTGTATTTGATTCTTAGGTGATTGAGGATGTGCAAAAACCCAAGGTCTTGAACACTACAGGAATAAGCTGTACTACTAATTCCCAAGCCCCAGTATTGATTCTCATAACCTCATGATACAGAAATTCTCAACAAGGGACCAGAGCTCAGAAGTCTTCACTGGACTGCAGTTAGTAAAGAATTGAAAATTCTAAGTCATAGTTGAAGTAATGGGGTCTTTTCCTGTCTCCAAGAGAAATCACATGTCTTCATATTTTATTTCAAAATTTGCAGGTAATTTGAAGCATTTATACTCATTTCTCCTTGATATGTTAAAATTGTTTAGTTTGTTAAAAAAATCTATTTGTTGGCTGAGTCTTGATGGCCTACAACTTTAATCACAGCACTTGAGAGGCAGAGGCAGACAGATTTCTGAATTCCAGGACAGCTAGGGCTACATAGAGAATCTCTGTCTTAAAAAACAAACCAAAAAAATCCCTTATTTTCCTACTAAATATAGTACAATTTTAGATATATTTAAATACACAATTTTAAGATGTTTTGATAACTACTGTTCAGTATAATTGGTTTGCTCTGTAATTTTACATAAATGTATATGTGTGTATGCACATGTATATATATTTGTCTGTTTTTTTCTTCTTTGGTTTTTGATTATTCGAGATGGTGTAGCTTTGAATCCTGTCTTGAACTCACTCTGTAGATTAGACTGGCCTTGAACTCACAGAGATCCACCTGCCTCTGCTCCCGAGTGCTGGGAATAAAGGTGTGCACCACCACTGCCTGGCTATATTTGTTTTTTGAGACAGGGTTTCTCTGTGTGTAGCCCTGGCTGTGGCTGGCCTCGAAAGCATTGATCACATGAAGGTGTACACCA